ATCTACGTCGATAGTTTTCTGTTATTAAGGAGTTTGCTAGTAAATTTGGATTATTAAAAACATTATTAAGGTTTTTTTTCTTACTGTTAGTATATATTTTTACGTTTTATTACTTTGTCGAAATAATAATGATTGTCAATATAAAATTACCAGTTGAAACTAAGTTTCAGCAACCACTTTTATCATTATGGCAATTATATTAAACTTTGTTTCAGCAGATAATTTTATATTGAGTATTTTATTTTAAGTTAGGTAATTAAACATACGCATTATTTACAATAAACAATAACCTGTTTATTGAAATATTTAATTAAATTTGATAATTTTTTTTTGTCTTTCTATGGCAGATAAAAAAATCAGTGTGCACCTTTTTTAATAGCTACCAGAGCTTTTAGGTGATTTATAAGCTATTTATTCTATTATACTCTATTAGAAGCTTAATTTATCCATTAATTTGACCTAACTAGCAGAAATATATTGTTTTTATTTATTTTAACGCTATTACAAGGCAACATCAAGGTAAAATTCAGATTTGAAAGGTCTGATTGTCAATGGATTATTTGAAAAAAATTAACATTTGAACATTTTATTTTAACCAAAATTATACTATCCAAAATATGCAGTTTTTATTTATTTTTGAATGCTTTTACTTACTTACAAGGGAACATCCTGGTCGCCTTTCTAATTACAACTATGGATCTATTATTGCAAATATTTTTATGAATTGACTTATTGAAAAAATATTTTCTTGACACTTCAATTTAACCAAAAGTATAATAAGTAAGTAGTATAGTAGTAAGGAAGTGTCTATTAATCACCAGTTCGATTTTCAAAGGATTTTTGAACCCGCCATCCTCTTTGGCGATACGTGATGATATTTAAAATTACCCGTTCTTCCCCACCAAACATCACGTGTATTTTAGTTACGAGAAAAAATTGTAAAAAATTGGATTTTTTTAAAAATGCTTAGATTTTTTTAAAAAAATTGGTAAAAAAGAAATACACGTGATATATTACTATACCCCTCTATCCCCCACGTGATATATCGCGATTTTTTGTCAAACCCCTCCTTCCCCTAAAAACCTCACGTGATTAATGGACGCCCCCTAATTTCCTAGCTTTTCATGCTATTTTTAGCTAATGATACTATTTGTTACAAAATCGGTCACCCAATAATAAGCAGATTTTGGTTGCCAATTCTTGATTTCATACTATTATAAAACTTGGTTTTCTTTCTGTCAAATTTTGTAATGATCTGTAGGATGACAAAAAAGATGGGACTTTTTGCATTGTACTGACCGCGGATCGGTATTACTCTGACACGGGATGCCGTCGTTAGTTGCATAATGGAAACTTGTTAGTGGAACTTCACCATACAATGACACCGACACAGTATGCATTATTCGGAACTTTATCTAACGCTAGCGGTCTACCGTATTCCAGTTGCCTTACAGCACGCATAAATGAGAAATGAGGGTAGAGGGATGAGGGATGTTGGTTTATGAACTGTTGCAAGCAATTTTGAACTTAAGAATTACGAAACTTTTTAAGTAACTATCCTTTTGTCTAGCATCAGTTTATATAGATACTATTGGTTTTTTTTAAGTAAAACTTTTTTAGGCGCGACTAGGGTGTAAATCCGTACAAATAAGATAAGAGTCGAGTGACAATGATTTGTCATTCGCTCTCGATTATATCATTTCTATACGGGATTGTGATTAGTTGTTGCGTATGTGAATAAAGATCTGTCGTTGTATGCGTACCGGCATCAACGATGTATGTGTACCGATATCAACAAGCAAATCGGCATAGATAAATAAACATTTTATTTTATTAATGGTAAAATAAAATTTATTACTTTGATAATATTTACATAACAGTATTCCATTTATACAATAATACAAAGTATATTATTCCTTTGGGCAGGCAGTCGAAATAGAATGATTTTGTTGAAACTTTTTTCTTTTATACCATGATGGAGATAGCCCCTCTTTCACTCCTAGATAGATATCCTCATCAGGTCCGCATTCTATATATATATAATTTTGTATTCTAACATATTTTACTATTATTATTATTTTAACATCGTAGTACAAATCTTGATTTAGTAAAAAATGCCTGAATCAGAAGAATATTTTACCCTGTCCCCCGTAAATAATTATAATGAAAATAATAAAACAAATGCATCATTTGCGCCGTGTATGAAACATAAGTTTATTGAAATAATTTCTATATTATTTGCATTTTCTATAAATCTTTGAAGTTATTGAAATGGAAAATATTTTTTAGGTAAAACAGATATTACAGCTGTTCAAAGAATGAGATTATATCGCCAGCGAAAAAGTAAAAAAAAATACAATCAGTCAATGAATGTATGTTAATTTTAATTACATGAAGTTCTTCAAACACAATTATTACATGATGAGTGAAGTTGCGAAAACAATATTTGTTCAGGCGTTGTTTAACATAATCCACTATTATAGAAGTTATTAATCAGCAATTACTTAATTTCTCTAATGAAGGTTCATATCTAAATGCTAATTACAATGACAAACTGATCATGTCATATTTGAAGTATGACTTTAATTATATTATCGTTTTTAAATATTATACATATTTTTGCTAATTATAAATATATAATTTATAATTTATCATTATATAAATATATGCATCACGAGTGTTATCATATTACTAATAAACATTATTCAAAACTGTCACATGATGTATTTATTTTTACTTAAATGCCATCTTGTACAGTAGCAAATAAGTTTTACTTCAATTGCATGTGAACCTTACGCACACTCTTTTTTTATTTGTTGCTTAGGATTATGGACTATTACAAGCAATTTTGATCTTAATTAAATAACTAAATCTCTATTTTGCTACTTTTGGAAATAATAGATTTTTTTAATTTTGTTATATACATATAAAAATTACAATCTCTCTAATGTATGAAGACATTTAGTAATTTTTTCAAATGGTTTTCCTTTATAGCTGAGACATAATTTACTTTATTTTGTTAATAATTCTATTTTACTCATTTATTACTCACGTTCGTTTCCAAAGCAAAGGTGACTTAAATAACCAGTTGATATTTTTACATCTGATAATTTTTACAATATATTTATCAATATTGAGTTTGAAATTTTTTTAAGTAAATTAAAAAAAAAATGTTTGAAAATTATGAGCTTTCAAGTGCAACCTAGAGCTTTGGTAAAATTATGACCATTTTTCGGTTATTGTGGTTAACTTTTATCGATTTTGTTTATTTAAACTTTGAAACGTTACCGAAAATAATATTTCTAGAGCACATCAAAAATACCACAAATTCCCCAAATTTTCAAGAATTTTTTTTGTTGAACTATGAAGTTAAAATGTTTAATTTATTAATTTAATTCACTTCGTTAATATATATGTATACATATATATATATATATATATATATATATATATATATGATAAAATTGTTCTTGGGCATCCAGTAATTAAAAACAGTTTTATTGAAAAATAATGTTTTTATTAAGAAAACGTATGTTTCAGATCTTGATTTGACCCATCTTCAGTGCTACAATTAAATATTTCAGGGTTACAATTTAAAACAATAAAAAATACATAATTACAGAAAAATATAAATAAAAACATGTAAAAAAGCATAAATCTAATCAATTTAATAAATTTGTTTTATAACTAATATATATATATATACATACATATTATATTATGTTATAATTTTTTATAATAACTTGTTCCATAACTAATATCGTTTCATAGTTAATACTTATATATTTTCTTAATAAATTTCTCTTCATCGCATATTTTTTCATTTTTATAATGTCTATCATGGTTTTTATGTTGTTTCTATATTTCTTTTTTATCCACATATATGGAAACAAACTGTAATCAACGGTGTTAAACATATATGTTTAACCGTTGATTACAGTTTGTTTCCACATGCTATATTTTTTCTATGTTCCTACTGCGCATGATCGCCGAGGAAATCTGCGTATGAAGCCACTAAAAATCTCTCTATCCCAGTCTTTCATCCAATGACGATACAGTTCCACAATTTTCCGCAAACACGTACACACACATTTTACTTGTTACACAAACTCCAAGCTGACATGTTTCGTTTGGAATAAGCTTTTTTATAATAAAAAATATTATTTATTTTTATTTCTATTTTAATTTTACAATTTAAAATTTACCATAACTTGACGCTTATCAATTTGTGTTTCATAATTTTTTCGTTCAATTTTTGTGTGTTTTTGTTGTTTTTTTTTATTTATTTATATGGTGAGTTGTTTACATTTATTTATTTATTTATTCTATGTTTGTTTTTCATTTTTATATACTTTCACAATATATATTAGTTATAAAACAAATTTAGATTTATGCTTTTTTACATGTTTTTATTTATATTTTTCTGTAATTATGTATTTTTTATTGTTTTAAATTGTAACCCTGACATATTTAATCGTAGCACTGAATATGGGTCAAATTAAGACCCGAAACGTATGTTTTTTTAATAAAAGCATTTTCTTTCAATAAAACTGTTTTTAATTACTGGATAAGAATAATTTGATCATATTATTTCACCATCTGAAGAAAAACCTCTCGCTTTATATATATATATATATATATATATATATATATATATATATATATATAGGCGTGTGTGTATGTTACATTTATAATAAAAAAATATTTTCAAATTAATGATTTTTATTTATTTAGAAAGTAACATTCTATTGGAATTCTTTTAGATCTACAATTACAAGACTAAAACAAATATCCTGTCAAATTGTCCAATCGTAGTGTGTCATGTATAAATAAATTTCATGGATTATATTCAAACTTTTTTATGTTTTCTTAGTGTTTAATTCTTTAACAATTTCTAATAAATCGCCAACTTCAGTGCAATTTCTGACACATTACGATTGAACAATTTGGAGCTTATGCAAAAGTCTTGCAATTCATATCATTGCCTAAAAGTTCAATAAATGGAGCAAATTGATAACAATACTGCATGCCAAGTCGCAGAGGCTTTCGTAAAGGTCTACTATGAGACCATGGACAAAAGACGTCATGGAATGGCAGATCTGTATCTTGATACAGGTATTTTGGTTTGGAATGGCAACTCATCATCTGGAAAAGAAGCTATTCAGAAGTATCTCTCGGACCTGCCCCCATCAGAACACCTAACTTTAACACTGGATGCTCAACCAGTCACTGGTGAAGAAGTTGGATCACAACCTACGGTTTTAATAACCGTAAGTGGACGAGTCAAATATAATCCGGAATCTACTAATGTGACGCGAATACCGTTCTTTCAGAATTTTCTTCTAACATGCCAAGCTGGCATTTGGTATATTGTTAGTGATACTGTTAGACATCAACGCTGATGAAAATGTAACAACTTTGTAATTTTCATTTTCATATCTTGATGATGTATGTTTTAATTCCGAAGTGAAAGAATTCGGATAGGAATATAATTTTTTAAATAAATAAAAAAAATCTATTAAAATAGAAATATGTTTCATTATTAAGCTGATAACTTAATATATAATAGGAAAAACTCGAACAAAATTGCCAGAAAGAACGCATGAACAAGAATCATAAGGAACCGCTATGATTAGTGATTATACACCGGCTTATTATTTTTGATGGAATTGCCTGATCTTAGTGTTGTCCGATTATGAAAGTAAAATATTTGCAGGTTTGCAACCTAACGAAGATGTGGAGCAAACAACGATCGTTGAGAAAAATATAAATTTAAAAAAAATGGTAAAGTAGTTATTTCTCTAACGAAGCTTAGCCTCGGTAATAATAATTACAAAAATATAAATATGAATTTATATGCAAAGTGGTTAATAATAATTTTGACATTTCTTCATATTTTGGCTAGTTAGAAAAAAGTTGCCAAAATTTTAAAATATTGAATTTTTTTTAATGCATTTATACGTTTAAGAATATTGTAGAACCGGTATAAGTAAGGTATATATATATATATATATATATATATATATATATATATATATATATATAGTTTAATTCTCAAGAAAATTTTCAATTAAAACTAGTTGAAAATACATTTAGCCTTAAGGCAAGTTGCATGAACTTCCCGAAATGTGTAAATAATATACTTAATCAGTCTGATTTTAGAATAAGCAATTTGATCTGTCTTTCACAATAATTTTTTATTCTATAAATTATTAAGAAATATATCATTATCATTTATTATAAACTAAAAAAATATTATTTTATAATTTTTTTTATTTTTATATAATAATCAGAATACATAAGTGATTCATTGTGACAAAATTCTATAGACGCATACGCTCATACACGAACAATATAAAAAAAATTAAATTAAAATAAAATAAATGAAAAAGTTCTTAAAAAAGCACTCTTCTCATGGAAACATGTTATATGCTTGGAAAAATCTAAACTAGTGAGTTGTTTTTGTATCTATAGATAAGGAAACTCGAGCTGTTTCGTCATTGGTTGAAAGACTGAGATAGAGAAATATTTGTGGCGCTTTGGTCAGCGGAAAAATTACGAAGTAGGGTCAATCAATAAGCAAAATAATGTAATAGAGGAATTAACATAGGAGACCTTGTAAAATATGAAAAAATATATGGAAAAATATGCGAAGAAAGAGAATAGAATATACATATATGATATGTATACCCAAATGAAAGTATTAAGATGTACTACCCATATTGAAAAACTTATTCAAAGCATCCCGGTAAATACATATATATATATATATATATATATATATATATATACAAATATTTCTATGCGTTCTGTGGTGTAAATGATCAAGCTCACGGACTCGTGTGAACGGGGTCATAAGTTCGATCCTCGCTCTGGAAAATCTGACATCGTGCAATAGCGATATCATTTTTATTTGAAAATATAAATGAAAAAAATATGTTTTAAATAAAAATAGCCCACACACTAGACAACACGAAAAATTTCGCATTGAACGTAATAGATAGAAGAAATTAAAAGGAAATGTGATATGGAGCGCAAGTAAAATATATACTGAGCTGCCAATCGCTATTAAGAATACCAATGATGACAATAATTTTGAAAGAAAAATGAAGGAATATTATGAAGGAATTGAATATTATAAAGGAATTAAAGATTGAATAGATATTTGAAGACATTTTAATTATAATAAATATTATATTATTCTATAATTAATAGACAAATGACATGTTATATATAAAATATGAAAATTGTTCCATAATCTCTCATACCAGACACTCCTGACTAAGATATAAAAATAATATATAAATAAACAAAAAAAAAGAAAAAAATGGGAAACATCTCAGGCTATTATGTCCTGATTGGAATTGGAGTTTAACTCAGCTCACGAACCTGCCCTAGGGCAATACTACCCATTTTATCTAGTCTGCATACGCAAATCATGTTGCAATAATGTGACAACATCCAATTTCGTTTACGTAATAAATATCACGCTTAATCCTTTCTTAATCATAATTACGTTTTTGCAAAAGCAATTAATATTTATTACCCGGACCAGCACTCTATCTTTTCTGCCTGTTTTTCCCCACACTGAACTCATAAGTCTACATTCAATGCATTTGCAAATGTTCGCTATTATGAATGGACCTGCGATACTGTCACAGCGCAATTTAAATTTAGTTTAATCCCATCGTAATTGCACGACGGAGTGACCATTTAGCCGAAACTGATGTAGTTTGTTGGAAAAAAACTCATTTTACATAACCCGAAAATGCAATGTTTCAAGGCTTTTTTGTCAGTTGTTCGGAATATGACTAAACATACAAATAAACGAATATGACTAAACATACAATCACAAACGAATGTGCTCTATGGATAATGGATTGCGTAATGTAATCATTTGATTTAGCCCAAATTAAATAATGGGATATATTGTCATCATTGAAGGATTCAAAATTTATTTGGTTAATGTAAATTGTTTAATTAAAATTACAAATAAACAAATATTCGAACGCTGTGGTATCAAATACCAATTTCGAGTTGAGCTGTCGATAGAATTAACACGGTGATGTTCTATATGAGCCATGTCAGACATATATGTCCAACATACCCGATTTTGCAGGAGAAAATAAGTTTTTATTCAAGGCTATGTCAGTCATATATGTGTGTCGTAACAAAGTGTTTTTTCAGGAATTTTGGCAAAAAAAAATTATACATTAAGTTTCTCTTGATAAAAAGTTTTAAGTTAAGTCAATGTTAAGTTTGCCTTGCCTAAAGTTTTTCTTGTTAAAGTTCAGTTTTCCTCGATATATTTTCAACTAAATTTGCTTAAAATTCCCGTGGTTCCATGTAAAAAAATCTAATATTATCGTTGCGATTAATGTATTAAATAGAGAAATTTTAGATTATTTAATTTATTATTATATTATTATATAAATATATGTATATATATATACTTGATTTATAAAACATACACACAAATATAGAGCTGACTCGGGGTAATAATTATTAATTGACCTTAAACGCATTATCTCACATTGTTAGTATGAGAAATTATGAGCTTTTAAGTCCGACCTAGAGCTTTAACAAAATTACGACTGTTTTTTGGTTATTGTGGTTAATTTTTATCAATTTTGTTTATTTAAACTTTGGAATTGTAACCGTGAATAAGATTTCTAGGACCAGGGTCGAGAACAATAACATGCCAAAATTTTCCAAGAATTATTGAAATCTTATTGAATTATATACTTTTTTTTAAAATCGGTCGACTTTGTGATGCCCATCTTTAAAAAAAATTTACTGAAGTGTGTTAGCCAGTTTTATCAAAACTTGGTGCTTTTAATCAGGATTGTAAAATGGTAAAATACTTGATAATTTAAAAAAAAAAATCGAGTTGTTTAAAAAGAATCGAGTAAAAAAATAAAAACCTGGAAATGATATGGATTTGCATGTCTATATATTAAATTTGTATGTTTAGCTATTATTCATAATGTTTAAATTCCTAAACAAAAACGCTTTCATTGTTTCTTAAAAAAATGATTTATTGAATTTTTCCATGATTTTATTCTCAACGTTTTGGGAATGGGATGTTTCCTTTTTTAGGAACTATTGATAACAAATAAAACAAAACATTTATTCATTTACTTCATTATTTTAAAATTGTAAGCATACTCGATTTACCTTCAGAACTAAATATTTTCTCTATTAAACAATCATATAAAACCAAGATTTGGCTAAGAAAATAAATTGAAAATTTTAGTATTAATAAGTTGGAAAAAGTATATTACAGAAGTTAAAAGTAAATTTTTTCAATTTTAAATTAATACTTTAAAAGTATAAATCTATTTTTTTTTTACTTACCAAATGTTTTTGAAGAAAGTTGCATCTTATAACCTCAAAGCATTCAATAAATTCGATGAAAATCATTTTTTAAAAGAAAAAGTGGCTTTTAGTTCAGAAATGTAATATATATATATATATATATATATATATATATATATATATATAATACTTCCTATTATTATAAGAATACGTTATTAATTCTATTAGCCTGTATCTGTATCAATTGTTTAATTAACTTTTAAAAGTCCATTAATTAAATCTATGTAGTGTTTTCATAGAAGCTTTCAGTTTGTTCGTTTTAGTTGGAGAGCTCTTTTAGAGAATGAAGATTTGATTCACAGCCGAACTATTTATGGAATGTTAATTGATTCCATTTGTGATGTGATGTAATGACGTTTCTATGTACGAAATTAATGGACTATTTTATTAACTCCGACTCCTGGTTAATAATCATTTAGAATTTGAATCGTTTTATTTGTTTGGGAGGAAATATAACGTTACTGCTTTTTTCGATTAAAATCCATCGTAATGGTATAATTGAGAATTAATTGAAATAGGTGGTTTGAGATTGATACCGAATAATGTGAAAATAGTTTAATAAATAATATTCAATGGCGATTAATTTAGTATAATATTTTATTTTAATTCTTTACGAGAGTCGTCTATCCTATAGATTTATCGCTCTCAGATAATTCATTGAAAATTCTATTATTTTATTGTGATTTTTAGAAGTTCTATTTTTAGAATTGTACTTTTTGGTTTTTAAATACATTTCATTGATAATTGAAATTTTTTTATATATGTTGTTTTGCCTGGTCCGTTTTATATATGTTGCGCTACTGGGTGGCTTACTGTTCTGTATAGCAGTGTCATCCCTGCAAAAAGCAATCCCGCAGCAAAGAGACTTGGAATGGAATTGAGAAGGTTTAGATCAAATACCATCTTCCATTTTATCAGAAAATTCCAAACTTATAAATTAATTAACTAACTTCTATCCCCGCAAATTGATTTTTCCTTTTCATTTATGCCTGGAGTATTGCTATCAGATTTCCTAAGTTTTCTT